AACAAAACACGTCTGATTGACCTCAAATATTGCACACAAGTCATAAATGACACCACGAACCTACTCTAATTCCCAGAAATCAAATCCGACCCCGATATCAAAATTTCCATTGCTGGTCAAATTCGCCAAAATTTTAACTTACTAAATGCAATTAACGGTCTTCATCTGCCTATATATGCGGTTTTGGCTAATAGACTTTTTGGCCAAGCTTCTTAAATCACCTTATTTTGAGAAGTGCTTTTCCAAAAATACTTATAAAAAAGTACTTTTGGTGAGAAGCAGTTTGCGTTTGGCTAATAAATTGGAAAAGCACTTTTGAGCAGTAATTAGTGTTTGGCCAAACTTTTAAAAACTGCTTCTAAGTGTGTTTTTCTCAAAAGTGATTCACAGAAAAGTACTTTTGGAGAGAAGCTACTTTTTTTTTGCTTCTCAAAAACTGCTTCTGCTTCTCCTCAAAAGTACTTTTTTTCTTCTAAAAGCTTGGCCAAACAACTCAATTTTTGAAAAAAAAAAAATACTTTTGACCCAAAAAAAGACTTGGCCAAACAGGGTATAAGTCCTCCAACTTTGATTTACACATTTATACTTGCCCTTGTAAACAACCGTAGTAACACATTCTGAAAGAAGAGCAAAATCCCATTGTTGGCATGTACTTGACCAAACCAGATTGACGTGTTAAAATTATTTCGGCAAAATTCGAGCTAACCTTCCAATAAATAATGTTGATATCACCTTGCAAACAAAATTGGAAAAACTTATAGGTCTTGTTTCTTGAAACTCGCGTGGACCTGAAACCTTAAGAATCAATACCACCACAGAAATTTCTTCTCTCTGAGTTTATTTTTCATCTTTCTTATTTTATTCATCCTTCATTTCTTACTTAAATTTATTTGAAAGAAGGAATACCCTTTCTAGTATTTGTAGAGCATGAGGTTTAATGCATTTCAAGAAATTAGAACTAAGATTAATTGAGAAAATCATTACTGAGAGATTAGTGTAGCCATTCTCCGATGAGAGCAACGAGAAAATGAGTTTTTTACAATTGACCCACTAGTTTCAACCCTAGCCTCCCTTTTTATTTTTACCATATAATTTTTGACAATGATATAAAAGAGTATTAAAATCTTAATTAAGTCTGTTTTTTATATTAAGCTAAATAAATATCCACGTAGATTACCACATGGAAAATTTCAAAAATAATTTAGAGTGTGTATTATACGCACTAGTAAGAAAGCGACGAGGGAGTTTTATTATGAAGGGGAATATAGTTCAGGAGGTTTTCGTGGACATGTGATAGTTTAGGTAGGCAACTAACAAAGGTTATATAGTTTAGACGGGTTTGACATGTCCTTGACAAAACCAGATTGAAATTATTTTGGCAAAATTCGAGCTAACCTCCAATACATAATGTTGATATCACATTGCAAGCAAAATTGGACAAACATATAGGTCTTGTTTCTAGAAAATTGCGTGGACTTGAAACTTTATGGAAAATAAGTTATTACATGATTAATTATCCTGTGATAACTAATCCGAGGATTAGTTATACTGCGATTTTATCTCAACCAAACGTTGGATAAATGTCACGACCTAAAATCCACTAGTCGTGATGGCACCTAACTCGACCCGCTAGATAAGCCAACTAACAGACAATACAATCCAAATGAGATTTATAGAAAAACAATGAAGAATTATTTGAATTGTTATTTAGTAACCCAAGGAGTGGTAGTACGAATCATGAGCTTCTAAGAATTTAAAATTTACAAAGTTGATACAAATAAATACACGATTTATTTGAAAGTTACATAAACAGATTAGCAAAATCTAAAGCTACCTAGGACAAGTGGCAGCTATGTTCCGGAACGCACGAACATCTTCAGAGTCAGCTCCCGATATCACCAGCAGATCCACTCCAAAATCTGCACGCTAGGTGCAGAAGTGTAGTATGAGTACAACCGACCCCATGTACCCAGTAAGTATCTTGTCTGACCTCGTCGAAGTAGTGATGTGGCTTTTTAGTTAAAAAATACTCACTGATAAAACCTGCACCGTAAACTAGCAATAGAACTATACTACGATATAACAGAAAAGAGTACACAAAACAAATATGCAAAGCAATAACTGTGTACTAGAAGAGATCTCAATTTAACATTTCCCAATATCTCGACCAATCTTTTCCTTAGAACGAAAACCAATAACCACGATAGTCACTCCATAACTTTCATAGCGTGAGGAATGTACTCAGATATTAAGTCAATTGCACGGCAACACCTTTCGTGCATTTATCTCATCCTCACCAAATATGGGTATAACAGTCCCAATTGGATGGCAGAAATGCCGATAACAGTAGTGATAAAGTAGGAAATACACAAGTAGCAATAATGAACGAGGATATACATATGGGCAACAGTAATAGACTAGGCGGAAAGCATAGGAGTAATGACAACAATTAAGAAAAAGGAGTATAACTTCAACTAACTAGCATGGTGGAGGCCTAAATATAGATATACGAATAAGAGGGGAATACATGATCTTTATAAGAAAACAAGTAAAGGCATGAAAGACTAACATGGTAGAAGGCATGTACTAAAGTGCAACAAAATAGACACAACATAGATGTAATTATAACAACAGGAAGTAGGCATGGTATTTGCAAGTTAAGCAAGTAGAAGGCATGGGCAACACAATAACAATTAAGATAGAGGACAAGGACAGGGCAATAATGACAAGTCACATAAGAACCATAAGTACGACAATAACAGCTCAATGAAAAGGCATGAACGTATACACAAGGAAAAGATATCACAATGTAATACATGTCTTTCGTCCTCGCCTGCACGGAAACACCCATCGTGCCATGAACTCATGATTTATAAAAGCATGATAATATAAATAAAATGGCACGACCTCACCCTTCGTGCTTTACACTCACATAACATGGCACAGCATCACCCTTCGTGCTTTACTCTCAAATGATATGGCACGGCATCACCCTTCGTGATTTAAATGAATATTCCAAATGAACCTCAATCACAACTTGCAAGCCAAAAATAATTCAATAAACCCTCAAGAACCTTATTATTCAACTATTTCAACAAATCTCAAGAATGATCTACAACACGAGAATAGAATCTAATATCTCAAGAATATGACCGAATTCGAGACATCAATGTTTTCTCAGAATTCCGTCGTATTTTAATCAAGCTACAATAAACTAAACCTTGGTTCCTAACATTTAATTTATATTCTTAGTATCTATGAGTCATGTAAGACATGAAGCAAGAAGGTCACGTAATTCTACAAGGCTCAATTCATAACATAATCTACCCCCGAGCATGATTAATCCTGGCACACGCATATATACTCGCCACCTCCTATATGTATCACCCCGCATGTAGCAAATAATGTCAAATAGTAGGAAAAATTCCCTCAACAAAGTTAGGCAAGACACTTACCTCAATTCGGCCAATTAAATACTCAATTTAGCTTTTCCCTTGACAAATTCACCTCCGCCCGGCTCCATCTAGCCAAAGACGACTTAAATATATTACACAATGCAAGAGAAAACAATCTCAATTAATAGAGCTATGACCTTTATACAATTTTCAAAAAGTCAACAAAAGTCAACCCCCCCGGCCCGCCCGGTCAGAACCCGGGTCCAAGGGTAAGTCTTGACTACCCATAGCCCACGAGTCCATATACATGATTAGTTTTCAAATTCGAGTCCAATTCGACTCTCAAATCCCAAATTTTCATTTTTAAAAACTTTGACAAAAATCCCCAAATTTTTCCCTAGATTCTCATGAATTTGATGTGAAATCTTATGTATAATCATGAAATATAATTGAGAATTGATTATAGGTACTTACCCGATGGTTTGGTATGAAAATCCCTTCACAAGATTGCCTCCCATCGAAGCTAGGGTTAAAAATATAACAAAACGAAGCTAAGTCTCGGAATTCTCAGCTACATGCAGGCTGCAGATGTCGCATTTGCGACATGGGGTTCGCAAATGCGAACAATTTGTCGCAAAAGCGAACCCGAAGACTTCCTGTTGAGGTCGCATTTATGACCCAATAATTCACAATTGCGAAGACAATTATCTCGCAAAAGTAGCAGGGATCCTCGTAAAAGCGAACTGCCACGCTTCGCAAATGTGAGGGGTTTCTTCGCAAATGCGAACCTTCCCCAGCAGCCAAATTTTGCAAATGCGATGGCTGCTTCAAAATTGCGATTGTCGCAATTGCGACAAAAACATCGCAAATGCGATGAAACCAGTACCAACACTCAAAAATCATTATGAACTAATCTGAAACTCACCCGAGCCCCCGAGGCTCCAAACCAACCACCCACCTAGTCCGAAAATACAACACAAACTCGCTCGTGTGATCAAAACATCAAAATAACCTTTAAAAGCACGAATCGGACGCCAAAATGCATGAAGATCAAAATAAACTTCAAGAACTTCTAGAATTGCAACCAAGCGTCCGAAAGATACCCAATCAACTCCAAACGACGTCAAATTTTGTAGGCAAGTTCCATATGAAATATCAAAGCTATCCAATTACCGAAATTACAATCCGAATCCGATATCCTCAAAGTCAATTTCCGGTCGAACTTATGAACTTTCCAAACCTTCAAATTTCCAACTTTCGCCAATTAGTGTTGAATCTTTCTAGAAACATCAAAATGCAATTTCGAGCATACGCCCGAGTCCAAAATCACCATCCGGACCTAACAGAACCATCAAAACTCCAATCCGAGATCAAATGAGAAAAAGTCAAACTTGATCAACTCTTCCAACATAAAGCTTCAATCTTGAAGTTCATTCTTCCAAATCTATTTCGAATAACTTGAAACCACAACCGGCGACTCAAACAAGTCATATTGCATCATGTGGGGATACTCGTGCCCTCAAACTACCGAGCGAAGGGAAAATGCTCAAAATGACCAATCGAGTCATTACAATAAACTCATCTCGAATTTAATCTTGAGATTAATTATTCATCATCCCTCGTACCAAACAAGCCATAAGAATCAATACCACCACAGAAAATGAAGACAACCCGGACCTGGCGCACTACCTGAATATCTAAAGAGAAAACAGCTCCATAAGCTTTTGATCAATTGTTAACAATATATTATCAGCCTCTGTAGGGAGACATGAATAATCCCCATCAGTTACTTCCAGTAATGGATCCAAGACTTAAATTCTACAGATACAACTTTTAAGGTTTTTAACATTGAAACCAACGTATTTTTTAAAGTAAGGGTTTATATCTACTATTTGTTACAAAATTTATTAATTTCTTATACAGAAATATGTGTTCCTCATCAAAAGTTCAACAACAACAACACAATGTAATCCCACAAGTGGGGTCTGGGGAGGGTAGGATGTATGTAGCCTTACCCCTACCCTGGAAGGGCAGAGAGACTGTTTCCTATAGACCCTCGGCTAAAGAAAGGATGGAAGAAGTACTTATAGCAAGTAATATCAGTATAAGGTATTTAGAAAACAAAATCCAAGCAAGCAAAAGAGAGTGTGAAAGAAGCACTAATAATCAGTAATAATAGTACAAGATATGAAATGATAACAAACTAAGGGCGTACGGAAGGCAAGTAACAACAGTGCAAAATATGTGGTGATAGCAAACTAACAATAAAAGGGATACCAAACTACACTAATACTATTGAACTAAGGAAGACATAGGGAAACGCTCGACTACTTACTAACCTTCTGCCCGAATCCTCAACCTCCACACCCTTTTATCAAGGGTCATTTCCTTGATTAGCTCCAGTTGTGCCATGCCCCGCCTGATCACCTCTCCCAAAGACTTCTTTGGCCTACCTCTACCCTTCCTCTTACCCCCCAATGCCAATCTCTCACACCTCCTGACTGGAGCATCCATGCTTCTCCTTTTAACATGCTCGAACCATCTTAGCCTCGCTTCACGCATCTTTTCCTCCAAAGGGCCACTCTCACCTTGTTCCGGATAACTTCATTCCTAATTCTATCTAACCTAGTATACCCACACATCCATCTCAACATCCTCATTTCAGCTACTTTCATTTGCTGGACATGGGAGTTCTTGACTGGCCAGCATTCTGCCCCATACAACATAGTCGGTCTAACCACTACCTTGTAAAACTTACCTTTAAGTCTCAAAGGCACATTCTTATCACATGAGACACCGGAAGCGAGCCTCCACTTCATCCACCCTACTCCGATACGATGTGTCACATCCTCATCAATCTCCCCATCATTCTGAATTATAGACCCAAGGTACTTGAAACTCTCTGTCCTGAGAATAACTTGCGTATCAAGCCTCACGTCCTCGTCTGCTTCCTGGGCAACACCGCTGAACTTGCACTCCAAGTATTCTGTCTTGGTCCTGCTCAGCCTGAGACCTTTAGACTCAAGGGTATGTCTCTAAACCTCCAACCTCTCATTTACACCACCCCGCATTTCATCAATCATAACTATGTCATTTGCAAATAACATGCACCAAGGCACATCCCCTTGAATGTGTCGCGTCAATGCATCCATTGCTAAGGAAAACAAAAACGGGCTAAGTGTTGATCCCTGATGCAACCCATCTCAATTAGAAATTATTCAGAGTCCCCTCCTGCTGCCCTTACCCATGTCTTCGCTCCATCATACATGTCTTGGATCACTCGAATATAAGCTGCAGGTACTCCTTTAGCTTCAAACATCTCCGTAGGACCTCTCTTGGGACTTTGTCATAAGCTTTCTCTAGGTCAATGAATACCATATGCAATTCCCTCTTCATCACCTTATACTGCTCCATTAATCTCCTCACAAGGTGAATAACTTCAGTAGTCGACCGTCCCGGCATGAAACCAAACTGGTTCTCGAAAATGGACACACTCCTCCTCATCCTCCCTTCTATCACCCACTCCCAAACTTTCATCGTATGGATCAACAAGTTGATACCCCTATAGTTGTTGCAGTTTTGGATATCCCCCTTATTCTTGTACAACGGAATTATCATACTCCACCTCCACTCTTCAGGCATCTTCTTCGTCCTAAAGATAACGTTAAACAACCTAGAGAGCCATTCCAAACTCTCCTCACCCACACTCTTCCAGAATTTCACAAGAATTTCGCCTGGCCCGATCGATCTGCCCCTACTCATCCTGTGCATAGCTCCTACAACCTCCCCCACTTTTATGCGTCTACAGTACCTAAAATCCCAAAGCCACTCCGAGTACTCCAACTCACCTGGCTCAACACTCTTATCTCCCTCTTCATTCAAGATTTTATGGAAGTAAAACTGCCATGTCTGCCTAATTTGTTTCCCCTCTAACAGAACTCTACCCTCCTCGTCTTTTATGCACCTTACTTGGTCCAGATCACGGGCCTTCCTCTTTCTCACCTTCGCCACTTGTACAACTTCTTATCCCTGCCTTTGCCCCCAAGTTCTTCGTATAAATGACAAATGCCTCGATATTAGCCATAGTAACCGCTAACTTCGCCTCCCTCTTAGCCTTCTTATACTCCTCCCTGTTATCCCTCTCTCCCCCCCCCCTCCTCATTTATGCTCTCTACTAGCTTCAAATATGTTGCTTTTTTGGCTTCCACTTTCCCCTGAACCTCTTCGTTCCAACACCAGTCCCCTTTGTGGCCACCAGAGTAACCATTCGAGACACCTAACACCTCTCTCGCCGCCTCTCTAATACAATTCGTTGTCCTAATCCACATACAAATTGTGTCCCCGCTACTCCTCTAGGCCCCTAAAGCCAGCAACTACTCCCCCAACTCCTGGACTTTGTTCTTAGTCAAAGCACCCCACCTGACCCTAGGTAGACCAGACATAACCTTCTTTCTCCTCGTCAATCTGATCTCTAAGTCTATAACCAAAAGCATATGTTGGGTCGTAAGATTCCCATTTGGGATGACCTTGCAATCTGTGCATACACCTCTATCACACTTCCTGAGGAGTAGATAGTCAATCTGGGTCTTGGCCACCGTGCTTTAGAAAGTTATCGGGTGCTCCTCCTTCTTCGGGAAGCACGAGTTAGCAATCACCAATTCAAAAGCTTTAGCACACTCCAACAACGAAGTACCTCCTCCGTTTCTATCTCCATAACCGAAGCTACAATGCACACCGTCATACCCCCCAGACAACCTCCCAATGTGGCTGTTAAAGTCTCCTCCTATAATGAGCTTCTCGGTGGATGGTATACCACACACCAATCATCCAAATCCTCCCAAAAACACCTTTTAACTTCCTCGTGCAAATCCACCTGAGGCGTATAAGCACTGACTACGTTCAGGGTATACCCACCAACGACTAACTTAATGGCCATCAACCAATCATTCACCCACCTAACTTCAACTACTAGCTCCCTAAGATCCCTATCGACTAGGATGCCTACCCCGTTCTTCCCTCTCACCCTCCCAGAATACCACAACTTAAAATCCATCAGCCTCCCGAGCCCACCCACGACTAGGTTTATATGAACTCAGTACCAGTACACTACATCTCCCCTCTAGTAACTTCCTCCCTTCAGCTATAACATTGTTTTGAAAAAATTCAATCTCCGCTTGAGCAATATCTTCCATCTTCGTTAACATGGCACCATTTAGAAACCGATAGCAATCACAGAACGCGGTCTGATCCAGTGATCTACATAGGTGAAGAAATCTTGCTGCTGTTTATTTTCAAAGTATCTAACCAACCGTTCTCGTTTATTTTTAGGGCTTTTTTTATTTTAGTCCGCGTCAGAAATTGTTTACATTCGGTAGCCAAAAAATATATAAGATTTGTATAATTTTGTATATAACATACAAAATGTATAAATATACAAAAAATATACTATATTTTTTCGACTATTATTTTCACACTGACTACACATTGTCATTTTCCTTTTATTTTTTTAATGCCTCGTTGACCACACTCATGGAATTGGTACATAATTAATCTTTGATACTACAAGGCTAAGGCCTCATTTGTTTGCACTTAATGGAGGTCTGAATCTTAATCATTCAGATTTTTGACATTAAGTGCGTTTATTTTTGAAGTCTAAATCTTAATTATTATTAGATATTAATCATTAAGTGTGTTTGTTTTTTTACTTCACAACCACTTAATGGGTCTGAATAAGTCTGTATGATTAAGATCTATAACAGAGACTTAGGCCTCATTCGTTTTTTTAAGATTAAGACGTCTGAATCTGAATACACATCTGAATATCAAGATGTGTATTAAGATTAAGACATTTGAATCTGAATGCACATCTGAATATATTAAGATGTGTATTAAGATCCGAATACTAAATAATAAGACTGTTTGATTTTTAACATCTGAATGTAGAAAATTTATCTTTATTTGAAAATTAATAAATATAAAATTCAAATGAAATACTAACTAATCTAATATTCTATCAATAAGTATATGTTATGAAACATAAAGAAGAAGAATAGTATTGCAAGTGAAAAGTAGGGAAGAGAGAATTCTATTAGATTTAGGAGTAATACAATGGAATAGAACCTCTATTAT